GTAAGAGAGAAATAAATACGATATAAATACGATAGTGTATGTCGTAAATTTCAATAAGTTGCTGCAGCGCTATCCCTAATCACTGGATAAATTATATGTGTGAAGGAGGAGAACCTGCGTCGCTACTTTTCTCAGTAATCTGAATACATGTATGTAGCGTGAAACAAGCAGATACCTATAGAAGAAATTGTTTGCCCTACCTGTAACAACCATGTCCCGTGTCTATAAAGGGGATATAATGTGGGAATGAATGATATGTACTTTTATCTGGGCCCGTTTATGATGATGATACATATTGCGATCTTTCAAAATAATCTCACTGGCTATCAGATTGAGGGTACGTTTCAAACATAACCGGTATTTCTTTTATTGTATTTATACAGAAAAAATTCTTCGAACTTTCTCCATATACGTCCGCCAGATTTCTCTCTTGATCTTCTCAAACGACTGTTGCAAGTTCGAAGAATCCTGGTCAAAGTAAAAAAGTCTTAAGACTATTCCCTACAAATCTGTAACTTACACATTGTACCATAAATGGGTAGAGCTTCCGTTCGGGGGAATATCAGGAAGACAACGATACCATTATCTCCAATGTTGTAGAAAGCACTCCACTTACTTAGGAAAACAATAACCCACTGAGATATTGCATTCTTGCCGGAATCAATATGTTCGGCACCTGTCAGATCTGAACTTGAACATGCGAGGTCTGCGTCTATGTCAGGTTAAAGGTCTGCAAGATGTTTAGCAACACTGGGGCGTAATAGTCATAGGCCTGCTCCAAACAACGGAATATATATCTTGTTAGAAGGACTTCTCCGACATGGAAAATTGCAGCAATGCAACATCACATTTACTTGTGTGACATTTGCTTTTGGACAGGACAATCAAGACAAATTTCACAAAGGCACAGAGGCCCAACATGCCCATGGTATACTCAAAGAACGCACCCGCCTGTGCCATCCGGACATAATCGCTACACGATAAAAACTATTTTTTGGTGGCGTTATTACAGCAAAGGCTGAGCAGAAGGAGAAATAACATGGTTCAGGCACTGTGAGACTATTAAGAAAGGTCACATGCAGTGCAATAATATTCCAATTATGTACTGCCAAAACTTATTTTACAGTACTGATGCGCGAGCTGAAGAGACTTAAGAAATTACGAGTTGGTTTGTGTAGCGTATTTGGCCGTGCTCAAAGAGAGATAGACTAATGCTTAGTCTCTGAATATATATAATTTTGATAGTAACAAACAAGCCCATTTAAATTGGAAAGGAGCCCCAGGGAGACTAGAGATTCAGGACCTGTGGAAATCTAGACTTGCTTTATTTAGGGCTTTAGCACTGCAGAGAGGGCTTGGCAGCAGGGAATATAATGTGGTTCAGGGACTGTGAGACAGACTACAAGAGAGAGATAAAGTGCTGTTCTGTTGGGACAGCTAGGGACACTGCAAGGACGAAGGGGCAGCTCATCGCCCTTTTGTTCACCACTCACAAGATTTGCCAACACCGCAGACAAAGCGTAACTGATACTGGCAACAAGTGCGAGCGCAGCTTATAAGCCATGTTAGCTTGCGTAATACCGCTTTCTTAGTCAGGCTCTTTTGATGATAAGAATAATGAGGTCACGTGAACGTTGATTTCAAACGTACTAAAATGTGTGAAAATGAAATTACATGAACCAAGTAATTCACATGATGGAAACAAATGATCATCTTGCTTGAGCACAGGTAACATGAAGGTGTATGAACCGTTCATATACATACCCCTGAAATCCGGTATAATACATAAATATGTAATGTGTGTAAACATTTGCACATGTGAAAATTTACAAGTGTTTCCCCACCTTAGTAAATTTACATGTTTCCAACCTGGGTAAACTTAGAACGAAATCGTAATTTCAGCAACCTTTGAAATTCAAAGGAATGCATCGGAAATACTGTCTGATCATGTATTTACTGGGGTATCTGTTTTGCAATTCATGTTTGGAAATACCTGACAATCCGGTCATGGCATACATGAACGAGGTTCTTGTGCATACGAAAATGTACGATGAGCATATGTTTCAAAGGTATAGATTCATATGAAATATATGCCCGAATAAGAAAGTAAGAATATTTATGGATAACAACTTCTTTATTATATATGATGCGACGTTTCGGTATGGATTCTTATACCGTTGTCAAGCAAGAGTGAAGTACTACAGCACAGACCAGGCTTATATACATGAACAGGGATTAAGTAATAACAACATGTAGGACTGAATGAGGGGGATTAACAATAACAACAAGGCACGGTGGCAATAATGTAGTGACAATAGGAAGCCAATGGTGGTTGATGTAAAAAACAAAATATACATGCTGATGAGATTAATTAACAATGATGGCTGAGGTGCTCTAATCTGTTGTTTTTATGAGATCATTGTATGCAGAAGGGATGAGATATCCCTGGTCTCTGTTGATTGAGGGCTTGTGTCTCCGGATTTGAACTGCTTCTGCAAGTTTCCTTTTGGTGAAGTCCTGGTGGTTTTTTGGATAATATGTCCACATTGTCCCAAATTATGTTGTGATTGGGGCAGTTGATGATGTGGTCTGATAATGCCGATTTTCTATCAGATTTAGTGGTAGATGATAAGTGTTCTTTGACCTCCCGGCCCATAAATATCCGAATCAAAGAACACTTATCATCTACCACTAAATCTGATAGAAAATCGGCATTATCAGACCACATCATCAACTGCCCCAATCACAACATAATTTGGGACAATGTGGACATATTATCCAAAAAACCACCAGGACTTCACCAAAAGGAAACTTGCAGAAGCAGTTCAAATCCGGAGACACAAGCCCTCAATCAACAGAGACCAGGGATATCTCATCCCTTCTGCATACAATGATCTCATAAAAACAACAGATTAGAGCACCTCAGCCATCATTGTTAATTAATCTCATCAGCATGTATATTTTGTTTTTTACATCAACCACCATTGGCTTCCTATTGTCACTACATTATTGCCACCGTGCCTTGTTGTTATTGTTAATCCCCCTCATTCAGTCCTACATGTTGTTATTACTTAATCCCTGTTCATGTATATAAGCCTGGTCTGTGCTGTAGTACTTCACTCTTGCTTGACAACGGTATAAGAATCCATACCGAAACGTCGCATCATATATAATAAAGAAGTTGTTATCCATAAATATTCTTACTTTCTTATTAGTCACCAACTTCTAAATGCCAATCAAACAGATTATATGCCCGAAGTTAGGAAATATCTGAAAACATATGTAAATCCGGTCATGGCATGTATTTCCTACTGTATTTACGTTTTTTCAATGGTTTACTATCCGGTTTTTGGTCCTGTGTTTGTGTCATGATGTGTGTGGCTTTATTCAATGTCGACATGTGTTGAATGATGTTTGTTTCATGGTGGGTGTGGCTCCATTCAATGCCGACATGTGTTGAATGATGTTTGTGTCATGATGGAACCAGGAAGTGTGTCATTGCAAGACAATTCTCTCCGGAAGTGTTTGAAGAGCATCTTTAGGTGCTACATAATTATCTTGATTTTAAAACTGCATTTAATTCACACAAATATATACTTCTTTCTTATCATCGATTCCACGTGAATATTGCTTTGTGTTAGCATGAACCACATAAAGAGGACAACATCAACACAACATGCTGGAAACAGTACACAATACCAGTTTGGGGCGGGAGATGTTCGCTATTGTTGCAGGGGGAATAGGAGTAAATGTTGTTGACTACAGCTGTGGTGTTGAATGACAAACAGGTGCGTCCATTGAACACAACCTTCATGTATATTCTACACAGTAACAGCTGGTCGATCACTGAGAAGGTTATTAGAGACAAACATGTTTTGATCGATTTCAATTATTGTGAATTGGATAGATAAATACATATATATGCCCCCTCGGGTGTGTATGTTCACACAATCATTTACATTTCTGGTCACAAATTCTGACATGGAAGCTTTGCATGGGTCCAGAAAACAAATATGGAAAGAATAGTTCTAAACTTTATGTTAAGAATGACGGCTTAAAATATATTTAGGCTACTCCCACTTCGTATCGTCACTACCACATGAGCTCGCATCTATCACTTTGTTCGGTTACCAGGGATGACGTGTTGGCGATGTGCGGTCTGTGTCACGGCCCAGTGCTCATCTTATTTACAAATAATAACACCCAGGTATATTAAACAATTACTGAACGATATATTAATAACCATGTGATAGAATTTGTGCCATATTTCTGACATAACAAATATATAATCACAAATTCCCAATGTTTTATTAATATCTAAAAACTGAATTTGTGATATAAAATATTCACTTTTGGTAAATGTCAAATTAAATGGTTTGCGATGTGTGTAAAAAATGTAAAACAGATCTAAAAAATCCCACCCACCCAAAAAAACCCCAGTGGTTTAGATACTTATCGTGGTGACCGATACCACCCGCAAGAAAAAACAAACAACAAACAAAAACAAATAAAACACAAAAGATAGACATGAAAACTTAATAAAATGAATAGAAAAAGAGAAAAAGAATTATTGACGTTATTCGACAAACTGATATCTAATATTCATCATTATTTTAAGAAATCACAAAATAGATTACATTGATGCGAAAACTTTGATTAAACAACATCACACTATTAGAGACTATGAGATAAATCTGTGAGATAAATTCAAAAGAACAATTTTAGATGTTGCAATTGAAATGCAATGAGACATTTAATTTGTTCGCAAATCAACAGCAGCACTTGCGATAATAAAAACATACAGTGCATGGGCGGATCAAGGAATTTTGAAGGGGGGGTAAGGGGTTCGAACCCCCCATTGCCTCCGCCAACCCCCAAAAAATCTTCAATGTGTCATTTTCAAACGGGAGGTCGAACCCCCCCTGAACCCCCCCTATAGATCCGCCAATGCAGTGTTGTGGGCAGACAAGCATATCACTTGTTTCCGCATACTCGTATTTCAGCCAATCAAGAGCCATTGTTGTATTCACTGCTGAGAGGTAAACATAGACCATGGAACCGGGGACGGTGGATCGAGTTTTGCGAATGATACTCCATTCTTATTTCGTGTTATGTATAATGTCAGTATTATCTGCAGCTGATGATTGTGCCAAGGTTGATTCATGTACATGCAAGACATCAAAACGGACTATCAACCTGCACCCGTTATCAGCAAATCCCGGACCAAGGTAAGGATATAGGACGCACGATCACGTGCTTGAAACTTGTCACGAGACCCGTGGCTTGAGTTTGCAGACGACTATTCTGGCAGCTTACAGAAATCAGTAAACAAAAATAACAGAACTAAGAAACCTTTTATAACAGGTGGCATCATCATTTTACAACTGGAAAAATCATTTGACGAAATAAAGTTGTGTTGCTTATGTACATAACGAAACGGGTTTAGATACTTGAGGCCCTGTTTGGGTTCTGAGGCCATTATGTGATATTTTCAGAATAGTTGTTGTACATGCGGTAACATTACACCTTCGTGGTGACCGATACCACCCTAAGATTCCCCAGCGCTAAGAGGGCCCAGGATAAAACGGCCCCGTGTCATCATGGTTATAATTGCATAAAATCAAAACAACTCTTTAATATCTTTAAATAGCTGAAGGTAGACACCATTTTTAGTCTTGTGACCAAAGTCCAAGAAACATATCTGTCATTCCTTAACACAAGATCTGAGGTACAGCTACATGGTGTGAAAAAACCTCATCTATTATGTCTCATGAGGGAATATTGCTGTTTATTAATTATTTGTTTAGATCATAACATAAGTCAAGCAATAGTTTCTTTCCATTATATATGCAGGATTGTGTGGAAGCTATATCTTGTACTGACTACCGAACAGTTATTGCCGCCGCGAAACAGTTATCGCCAATACATCAGTATCATGCTTGCGCAGTTCCGATTAATTAAGTGTTTGTATTTTCCCCAACAGTATTTGACAACAATAAAGGACAGCCAAGGAAAATGCTTCACAAACATAAGAGAAAAATAAAAGATAAAGTTATGAACCCTATAGTTGTTTTTAACTTAGTGGGGGGTGGGGTGGGGTGGGGGAGGTTATGTGACATGATCTATATAATAGCAAGTTTAGTTCACAAAGTCCTTAATAGTTTCATTCCCTATCAATCTACTGTAAAAATAACACTCAACTAGTCACACATATCAATTATTCAAGGTTACTTTATGATATATATATATATTATTTCACAAATTCAGAAATGGTGATAACTGCAGGTAGTTGTGAGAACAGGTGTATTTATACTGACATGATTCCCTTCCGCCGCGTTATATAAAATGATGATCGGCGGCAGTGAACGGACTGGACACATCGGTGAATAGCTAATTACGTATCATAATTAATTCTTTTTCATTAAATTGACAACAGTGGAGTAATTTTGTAAATACCACTAAAATATGGCGATAACTGTTCAGCAGCCAGTATATGAATTGTTAATATTATGATGCAAGAGTAGTTCGAGTTGTGTGAGACAACTGACTGACTGTCGCTTCACAGATCTTGTGCACCTCTGCAATCCTTAGGGTTTGGGTTAGGTTACACCAACCTCAGTCATTAGCCCTTGTATCCCATTCCAATATCTGGTGTCCCCCGCGATATTGCTGGAATATTGCTAAAAGCGCTTAAAACTAAACTCAGTCAGTCAGTCCCATTCCAATGAAGCACCCGTCAGCGATCCTTAATGTTCGGACCGCCTCCAGTTTGATGGTTGAAGCGTCCGTCATACCAAAGAAGGTGTTTCGATCTAACCAGCGTCATACCAAAAGGCGTTGTTTGGTACTCGTTGGTCCCTGCCTGGCTCTCGGCATTAATGGGTACAACAAGGACTGGTCGGCTCTGAGTCAGTATAATGTGTCTGAGTGGGGTATTCATGCTTCACTGCGGCATGGTATCTCAGTGGGCTAGCACTATAAAACAAGCTTAAGTGTGGGCTAGTACAAGCAGCCGCACATACACATACACACGCATGCACGTCATCATGTGAGCGAAATATTCTCAAGCCCGACGTAAAACCCAATTTCACCTTACCTCACCTTAATGTTCGGCACCACTAGCCAGTCAAACACCCATCGTAGACTGAACAACTCACAAACACACATGCACACAAAATATGTGCAGTGTAAGTGCATTTATCATGAACACCAGCAAGTTGCGACCCGTGAAGGTCCGGGTTAGAATAATGATCTTCAGTAACCCATGCTTGTCGTAAGAGGTGACTAACGAGATCGGGTGGTCAGGCTCTCTGACTTCGTTGACACATGTCATCTGTTCCCAATTGCGTAGATCAATGCTCATGCTGTTGATCACTGGATTGTCTGGTCCAGACTTGATTATTTACAGACCGCCGCTGTATAGCTGGAATATTGCTGAGTGCGGCGTAAAACTAAGCTTACTCACTCACTCCAGCAAGTTGCACCCCTACCTCGTCACTGTTGAAGCAACATGTGCTGTGTCACGCCCAGTGACAGCAGAACAAGGTAGGTCAGATGGCTGCTGAGTGTGTTTTACGTTGTGTTTTCTCTCTCTTATTCTATGTGGTCAGTACTCCTTGCCTACGTGTTCTGTAAAAGGTTCCTGGCCTGGCCTGGTGTTCCAATTTCCTTAATTATAGACACAACACAAGAAAATGAAGTTTCCATTCATTTTATTAAGGCCTAAAAATAAAATGTTGTGGTTCTGATTACCTGACCGACCCTTGAATTCTGGTGCAGACCCTATTATTTTTTTAAGCGGTATGAATAAAATAAGCTTTCAGATACCATTGTTTTTTCCTGGCCCGATGGACATCGGTCATTCTGACAGTGAAAGCTGACATGATGGCCCCTAGCTTGATTGAATATACTATTACACATTGATAAATGCGGGTGGGCGAGCTGGCTAAGGCGCCAGGCTAGTGATCCAGCGAGGTTGAGGTGTCGGGATCGAGCCCATCTGTGACCGGGTGTAAAAACCTTGGAGCCAACTTTGTGTGCAGACTCTTTCCATGTTGTCACAACCCCTAGTGTACAGTACACAACCCTGTGCACTTAAAAGAACCCACGAATCCGTTAGTATATGACCAGATGGTGGCGACATGAATACGTGCAAACACCTAGTTGCGGGTACAGCAGCATGCAGTAAACTTGGACTAAGTACTGTGACTATGAGTCCCACTCAACCCAGCTGTGAATGGGTACCTCGTGAGAATGGGAAAGCCACATTAACTTGGTGCACCTAGTGGCTGCAATAGTTGTATACTCCCCAAGGAGTTGAGATTGATAATACAATGTGCCCGTTGAAATTGACATCCAATGATCAAGGGGAAAAAATACCAGCGCCTTGAGCAAGCACTAGTTGCGTGGGTATGTGCGCTGTATAAATATCCTATAATAATAGTAATTATTATTTTGCACTTTACTTCTAAAAAATAAATAAAAAAATCCTACCTCCCTACCCTAAATTTTAAAGGGGTGAAATCGGAACCACAACAATTTTTTTATTTGGCCTAAAGATAAATCATGTAAAAATCAATAAAGGGGCAAGCCTGTACAGGAAAACCTAGAAAACAACTGTACATATTTCTCGACCTCCCCTCCCTACATACTTCCTACCTCTTCAACACCATAAACTTTCTGTTACACCCACCCTGGTAACCTAACATCTGAAATCAAGTATCAACAAAGTACACCTACTTGTTCCTAATCTATTTCTCCCCCTCCCACAACTATCACAAATTTCATCATGTATTCTCCCAAAATAAATGTAACTTGAACTGGAAACCGTGAAGATGGCTCTGATCCAAGTCGCTTACCCAATGCGGTACGTGACGACGTGATGGTTCCCCACCTTATATGGCAAACATGGGGGCCATGTGACCGGGGAAACACAAATATAGCCAATGTCCATGCTCCTTACACCTCTGCCCCCCAAGATGGCTGAGCATGCAAGAAGCGTGACATTGTCCTGTCTTCCCGGTCACCAGACCCGCATGGGCATAAGCTTCTACAATGTATGACTACACAAATGCCTTACACTACCCACCACTCTGTGATAATTTAACATAATATTTCAATCCCCAAACCCGAGACGCCCAGAGCTGCAACTCTTTCAGCAAGTCAACTTCAATATCTCATGCTTGGTGTAACATCCAATGAAAATGGGATCAGGAGTCACCTCTGAGTTCAGCTTCTGCCAATAGTCATCTTCGGGCCATGTGTGAGTTATCACCTTGGGTTATCAGTCTGTTCCGAACTGATCTTGGTGCTAAAACATTTAGAAACTAGTGTTAAAGTTGGGTAGTTAAGATCACTTCAGTGGGGCAGAGAACCTATCACCTGGTTTACACTGACTTCAAAAAGCCTGAAATTCTGACATTTAGCATAGAAAAGGTCTTAATTACCAGTGTTTTGAAACATGTCAAGTTATGATATTGCAGGAAACTAATATGTAATAAAAAAGACCTTGCAATGACAGTGGGTGTTAATTAATCTCCAAGAAGCAAAACTTTCCCAGTGCAGCTAATGTAGCTAAGAGTTATTTCCCTTCGATGGTCCCACATTTGACCAAGCTTGTGTGTATTCAACTACCTATGTGTTATATGTGTTTTGATAGTTCCATAAAATTGTTGATTGGGCCTTAAACAAATGTTAAAAAGCCCCCAGAAAGACCTTAAATTTGATGGCTGATACCAACTTTTCAGGTTCACCATTTCTGGTAAAAGCAACGACAAGCACTTCTACAATCCATGCAAAGATTTCACAAAGGGAGGTATAACTGGTGTGGTAAGTTGGCTGCAAGTTCGTATTTTGCCTTTATTCTGATTATGATACTGAATGAGTGCTAAGGCTTTATTGTGTACAGGTGTATCTTCCAGTGGTTCCATTTCTTTGTTATTACCATTTATAAAGCAATGACTCCTTAAATTTTACCATGGTAACTAATAAATTTGGAATGCTGTTTAGAATTTTGATAATCCCTTCGGCCTCATAAACTGTTTTGAAATAAGTATGGATGCTGCACAATCAAAACAAAAGAATTGCAAAACAGGTGTAAATATCTTTTTGTAAATATTAGCATCCAGTAATCATTCAGTAATAGTTTATGTCATCATATTCCAATGATGTCGTTGGATGCTCACGATGTCAGTGAGTGAGTGAGTTTGGTTTTACGCCGCATTCAGCAATATTCCAGCTGTAAGGCGGCGGTCTGTAAATAATTGAGTCTGGACCAGACAATCCAACAATCAACAGCATGAGCATCAATCTGCGCAATTTGGAACCGATGACGTGTCAACCAAGTCGGCAAGCCTGACCACCCGATCCCATTAGCCGCCTTTTACGACAAGCATCGGTTACTGTAGATCAATATTTTAACCCGGACCTTCACGGGTCCACAATGTCAGTCGTTGGATTCCAGGTGAAGATAATGTAATAGTGGTCCATAGTTCATTATTAACTGAATGCACTCACATACCTTGAATAATGCTGAGTGGGTATTACATGTTAATGGCAGAACAGCCATTGCTTCAACATGCCAAAGGGTAAGGGACCAACAACCTTTTTAAAATGGGGTCACTTTCTTGTGACGGAATACTTAAAAGGGAGGACCCAGTGAAACTAACACTGACCTTTGCTTTTTTCAGGGTATTACCTTGACTTACGAAATTAGGGTTCCTGTAAACCCCCATGAATACATTTTACGGGTTCTTGCAGATAATATGAAAGTCCTGTAAAGAATTGAAATTGTGTAGTGTATGGTCAGATAATTACTTCAGAGACCTGGAATGAATCAGTGGTCATGTGGAGAGTAGGCATGACTGATGGGTGAAATAACAAACACAGACAACTGCTCTTGATGTGCACTTGGTGATTTCGTGCGTCACTCCAGATGCAGTATTTTGGGTTTCTGTGTCCATTCTCTATATTTGTGTGTACGGGATGCACATGTGTGCGTCACATAAAACTCTATATGTTTGTTCAAGGCTGCCTGATATCATTCTAAGTAAACTTAGGCTCAGTATTAATCGTTACACTGCTATACTGAGTCTAACAAAACCTAGTATAAGGTCGCACATACACACGCATGCACGTAGTCATATGAGCGAAATATTCTCAAGCACAACGTTAAACCCAATTTCACCTCACCTAGTAGAAGGTCGCATCAGCTAACCTTTGAGCGACCTATAACTGTCAAATCAAACACCAGACGGCCGAATGGATTTAACCAATCAGACAATGACTACTTGTTAGGGTTCGGCGGGAGTTACAAAACGTTTTTTTGATTTTTTCTTCCCTGGTCGCCGACACTGATCTATCAACAAACGAAAATCCACATAAAACACAGATATTGGACCTGCAGTATATACGCTTATGGGTTTCTAGTGACATGGTTACTATTTGCTTATATTTTCACAAGATGACATCCTTGAATTTTGACAAAACGGTATTTTCAGCGACTGTTTTCTCATTACGTGTATCACTCGGAAATGATCGTGCGGAAAATAGCATTCGGAATCGTTCGAGTTTTTTAGGTAAAGGTTCAAACGGTATGTGCGAATGTTAACTTTCACGATTTGGTAAGCTGTGTTCTGATTGGTCAGTCCAAAAGGTTAGGTGACGCGATCTTCTACTAGGTTTTGTTAGACTCAGTATAGCAGTGTAACGAATAATGCTGAGCCTAAGTTTACTTAGACTGGCCTGATATGAATCCCTGAACATATTTTGAAAATGCCCTGGCAGCATGACTAAAATTGAAAAAAACATACATACATTGATTCATTTGATGAAAACTGCAATAAATTTGAGCAACTGAAATGATTCAAAAGAGATTTTGAACCCAATCAAACTTTGTCACTCTCATTATCTCACAGGTGAGCATGGGCGTGGCCATTTTGAAAGTTAGAAGCTTAACAGGAAATCTCATTTTGGATGATAACATAGTTTGTTGGCAGGTTTATGGGTCCGGGACAAATATAGCTGAAGTATTCTTGCAGTCATGATAGTGATTAGGAAATCCTGGTCTTAAGGTTGCATTATGTCTACTGATTTATTCATCAATAAACTGAAAGTGTTGTGATGTTTAAAGTTTAATTGGATCATCAAAAGGTATGGGCTCACTTATTTAAACAAAGGCACTTGTACATTATCTGTATGGTGCGCTATGGCCCCTTGAAAAAATTGCATTTCTATCTCTGCTTCAAATTTGCAGCTCCATTTAATCAAATTTATGAGATTGGTACTGAATGGAAGCTGCAGTGACTGAGTAGGTTTGATGGCAGACTTTCTGTGCTGGTGATTTTGTGCCACTTTCTAAAAGGCCATTCTGTTTTCTTGCCTCTAAAACTAAAGCTTTGTTTGGCCTGTAATGCATGAGGTCACAATGTGTAAACATGTAAAGGAAATGTACGTAAGGCCTGCAGTATAATGTTTCACCACAAACAACAAATTTAACAATATCGATGATTCATCCAATAACCGTTAGCTTCTATAAGGACAAATTTTATGGAAGAACAACTTCTTTATTTTCAGGTTTCGATACAGATTCTTGTATCACTGTCAAGCAAGAATGACAAGAATCTGTATCGAAAGATCACATCACCTGAATACAGGAGTTGTTCATCCATAAAGTTTGTCCTTAACTGACTCGCCAACGTGTAAATATGCCGCTCAAGGAAGTTTTCCTCTGGTTCTTCAATCAAATGAGCTTCATACTAACTTTCTGTGTGAGAAGCTCTCTCAAACAGCAGTAGGCTACTATGTCACAAACGACATTACCACATGGTACTCGTTGTTTCCCTGCCTGCTGGGGTGGTGGGGTAGCCAAATGGTTAAAGCGTTAGCTCACCACGCCGAAGACCCGGGTTCGATTCTCCACATGGGTACAATGTGTGAAGCCCATTATTTTTCCTTATCCTGACTCATGCTTAATTGCTTGACTCCTTCCTCTTGCGAACTTAGTGGAACACTTGTATCTCCTATTGAAGCTCCCTTCAATAAAAAAGAGACGTAAAATCACCACTCACCAAGAGTTATCTGTCTGGCCGTTTTGGCGGGAAAGCGGCACCACCGTACTCCCATGCTTCACTCTCTCCTTCTTCGCCCTAGTGAGCGGTTGGGAGAGCGCCTGTGTCTCCTATACGGCACTATCTCCTTTTATTACTTAGTTATTGCCCTCTATTTTACTTTTATAGAGGTGTAGGAAGTTTCTTACAACAATATGGGTTAAAACTTATTCGTATTTTGCACTGTTTATTCACGGTTTGTCCGTGTTTGTTCAGTTGTTTACATTTCATGAAAACCTATTTTCGTTGTAGGTTTAGGTTCGCTGCTGCAAACCCGCATTGACTGTGCCCTAGCTACACAAAAACATGTACTTCCAGCTATCGATGTAATCTTTATCAGCATTTAACAGGATTCAATTTAATAAATAATTTTCTCTGTACTTAGACGTATTTACCGACAATCCAGGTGACTTTACAAGTCATGGATAAACTGGCTGGAGTCCCTCACGAAGCTGTCTACTGCTGTCAGGCGACTTACTACCATCCAGTGACCTGCCGGAGATGTCCTCGGAGGATGGGCGTGGGATGTTGTCCGCCATTACTTGAAGAAGTTGGCTTCTACATCGACAACCCTCAACGCGCCAGATGTAGAAGAAGAAGCCATCCTCTACGCAGAATGAAGCCTCACACCCTAAGGCGCTAGCAGCTCTCGGGGACTTCTGCGCGAGACTACAGGGACCTTCGGCGACATCGGTCCGATGGAAGTGAGATGACTTCATGATGAGCCGCTGCTGATCATCCCAGAGATACAGCACGCAGTCTGAGGGCGGCAGATGGCGCGATCCCTGGACCATATTGCTATCAGCGCCAGAGGGCAGCTCTACAATCATCGCCAGAGCCATTTAATAAGAAAAGAAGCCATCCTCTACCCAGAGAAGGCTACACACCCCTAAGATGACGACCAACTCTACGGGGATGTCTGAGCAGACTAGAAGGACTTTCTCGGCCGAGATTGTCCCGATGACGGAACGAGGACTCTATGATGAGCCGCCGCTCATCATCCCCGAGATACATCACCGGTAGAAGCGGGCCTCAGCAACGGTAACGTCAGCGCAGTTGTCTACGCAGTCCGAGGTATCTACACTGACGGCAGATGAGCGATCCCTGGGCTATATCGCTACCAATGCGGAGTGGGCAGCTCATCTCTCACCGCAGACATTCAACCCGGGAGACTTCATGCAGCAGTTCTCACAGCAGATCCTGGAGATGATGGAGAGGCGCTTCACACTGGAAAGGGCATCGCATGATCAACAACCAGCCCGCAGAACGGACCCGGACCTTCGCGAAGGTTCCAACGCAGACGATGCTTCAGAGAGGCATTCCAGCTACGTGACGACCGGGAACAGATCTACGCTTCCGGACGTCAACCAGCCTGCACGAAGGATGACACGCCTATCCCACGCCTACCACCAGTTGCCGAATGAGCTGATCAGCATTCGCGAAGGCACGTGCGAAGGACTTCGGACACAGCCTCAAAGACATCTTCAACATCGCATAGATCGTCGAGGGATTCACCGAGGCATTCGCGAACCAAGAGACGCTCACCTCCACGCAGGTCGCCTTACAGACGCAGTTCACCGGGCTCCTCTCCAAACCGATCTACACGCAGGACTCCGCGCAGGTCTCCATGAAGGTCTCCACGCAGGTCTCCACGCAGATCCCCAGCGAAGCAGAGACATCGCAGTACTTAGTCTCTCTACTGAACGCTAAATGCCGTCAACA